GAAAGAGTGAAAAAACCTAATATTATTTTTACTCATAATAATTAATAAGATGTTCATATTTTATATTCTTTAATTATTCTATAATGATTACATTTTCATGATTGATACTCTTAATATATTCTTGTTTCGTAAATATATTTATTGTAAATATATTTTATGATCAACTATAATATAATTTTGATATATTGGACTCATCTTGTTATTCCTTCATGTATTTATGAAGATAAATATTGTTCTATGGCCATAGAAGATAAAGTTTGAATTAATTGTAGCTAGAGGTTTGACCTTGGGAATTTAAATGAGTAAGAAATGAAGGTAAAATACCCTCTTGTTGGTTAAGGTGAAATATCTTTTTTGTTGGTTGATATTATGATAATGCTCATTTATCCTGACTAGTCACTACAAGTATATATAATTCAAATTTTATTCCTACGAGCAAGATCGGCGAGCCTCTTCTACTTGACAAGATCGTTAGTCTTGAATAGGGTGGGTACTTGCAAAAGAGACTATAATGCTTAAGTTAGTCTTTGTGGGTGTATGGATCTTGTATATATAATGCACATACCTTGATGTAGATTAGGGTTTTTCCCATAACTGATAGTGGGATTAGTTACGATTTGATAAGATTGCAGTCTTATCAGTTTATCTTATCAACTAGAGAGTGGTTCGACTTGATAAGCCGATGTGGCCTGACTTCTTGGGTGCTGAGGTGGGCCCTAATACCGATGTGGGTAGTACAAGTTATATTACTAATCAAATATTTTTGACAAATTTATATTTGTCGAAATTGTAAAAAGTTTTGACGAAAATTAACAATCATATATTAAAAAAGATCATTAAAATTTTAAATATCAATATATGTATACATATATATATATATATATATATATATATATAATATCGGGCGTTTCACCTTAGCTAATGTTCACCAATAACACAAGTCTGATCATGCGTGTTACAAGGTAGACCTCGCACGCTATGAACAAGAGTTGCAAACCCTGACACTTGTTTTGATACAATATAATTTTTATTAACACAACTTATTTTTATTTTATTTTATTTTTAAAAATTGGGATGATACAAAATTCACGAGAGTTTAGACTGAAAGTGTATAATATCATACAAATATGGAAGAAATATGTGTGTGAATCCTTGATAAACTACACAAATTTGCCTTACTTTTTATTTAAATTCAAAAGAAAATTAAAACAAAAGTAAAGAAATACTTAACTTAAGGAGAGAGTTAAGAGCTAGAAAAGAGAATAAAGGGAGAGCACGGAAGAAAAATAGTAAAGAGTGAAAGGGAGGAATTTGGAGAAGAGAATGGAGAGAGGAAATGAAAAAAGAAAGAAGAGAATGTGTGTATTACTTAACTTAAGAATAAAGGAGAGCACAAAAAGAGAGAGAGCGAGGAATTCGTAAAAGAGAATGGAGAGAGAAAAATGAAAAAAAAAAAAAAAAAAGAGATAGAGAATATGTTTGTATGATTTCTTAATCCAATTTATTTCAATTACTTTTATCCCTTTTGATATAAGAAAAACATGCTGTTTAAATTTTTAATTTTTTTTATAGTTTAATCTTTAGCTACTCAAATAAAAAGATAACAATAATAAATTAAAAGTGAGTCAACTATATCTTATTTGAATAGTCATATTTGACCCGACATTAATTATAAATACTCCATCAACAGTTATTATTTATTTTCATCTATCATTACTTCATTTCATTTATCATATATTTTTGTGTTACAAATTTTATAAGAGATTTGAGGAGTTTATAATTTATTTCTATTAATTAATTAAATTATTTTATAATTTATATATAAATTTTTATTTTTTTCTATTTCTCTTTTAAAGTTATTAATTTGCTTAAAATTATTTTTTAGTTTTTTTAATTTATAAATAATTTTATCTGCATGTTAGTCTCTCACTTCTTTTATCAAATTAATAATCATATTATTTTACGTTAATCAATTGATTTTGTCAAACATTTGACATTTTAGCTTCTAATTTATTACTTTTAAAACTTTGAACTAAGTTATAAATTAATTTTATTAAACACAATTTAAGATGTGCATTCTACACTTTTACACACCTTATATAATGCTCATTATTTCTTATTATGCCTCTCTTCCTGCGAAAACATATCACCTACTTATAATACTTCTTTTTTCTTGTTTTCATTGGTGTTGCAGATATTTCTTTCAATAATTCCTTTTGATTTCTATTTTATTATGAATCATTTTAAATTTTGTTCATTTTTGGTTGAAATATATTTTTATCTCATCAAATTTAAGATAAATTTATTTTTAGTCTCTCAAATTTAAAATTATTATTTTTAATTCTTATCATTTTCAAAAATCTTATTTTAGTTTTTTAAATCACTAATAACATTATGAAAGTGATAAATAGAGACAATTATACAGTATCAGTTAAGTTTAATATAATATTTTTACTAAAAAAAATATTAGTAGATAAATTTTATGTAATAATATTTAACAATTTTTTAACAAAATTTAAGTATAAGAACTAGAACAAAATTATTTGAAACTATATAAACTAGAATTAAAAATAAATTTGAAGAATTAAAAATAAATTTACTTTAAATTTGATCCTTAAATTACTTTTTCTTGGGGTCTCTTTTTATTTTTATTTATCGTATTATAAAACTACTTATAAGTAACTACACATTTTTTTATATTTTAAATTACTCATAAATAATTATTCAAAAAAAAAATTATTTTAATACAGTGTAGATATTAAATGTCTTTTTCGAGCTAGGAGTATGTAAAGTGTCCGTAACTCACATTGAGTATTGATTTTTTTACACTTAAAGTATATTCTCCCTCAGCAGTCAGCACATTATTTGTCTCTATATCTAATGGCATCATATTATTATTATTATTATATTTATATTTTTATCTCGTCCATTGTGTCCAATAAGTGGCATGGGTTTTGAAGAATTATTTTATCTGATGTATGCAAAATAATAAAGATGGTACTGTATTACAGCATTGGGTCCAAGCTCTATATATTCACTTGGGTGTAATGAAGTGGCCTCATCTGAATAACAAAAGGCAGTGACTCTATCTCAACTGTGTGTCAGTGTGGGTGTTTTTTCCCTTTCACCTCTAATATTCAATCTTCTAACCACTCATTCATTCACTATGTTTTTCCATAATTGCAGGCGATGGACAAAGATTGGGAAACATGGCTAGACGCAACAAGGGTATTGTTGGGTGCCATACTAGTAAATGATTGTCAGCCACACAGCATTCCCATTGTTCGGGAGGAACTTGGGAAATGGAGCAAGAAAGAGTACGAGCCAAAGGTGGTGTCGATCGGGCCCCGGTTCAAGGGAAGAAAGGAACTTCTACCAATGGAAGAGATCAAGTTGCGTTGCATGCTGCACCTTTTAAATAGAAAACCAGACATTGATCCCATGGAAACTATACAAGTCTATATGAGATACATCTTGACGTTAGACGCAGCTGTTCGCACTAGCTATGGGGAACAAATCGATTTGGACAGCTACGGTCTAGCCACCATTATGTTACACGACGCTTGCTTTCTCTTAGAGCTTTTCATTTCTCAATCAGTGGAATGGAATTCAAAGCTACCACCCAACGATGACACATTCCCTCCTAGCCCAGCAGCTCAACTCGGGAATATGGAACTCATCTTGAGCGATCTCACCTTATTCAAAGATACCCTTTTTTGTTCTTTTTAACGTCTTCGCTATGTTTTTTCCCCATCTCGTTCCTGATGACAAACCGTTTCGCGGTAAGATTTACAATAGTATTACACAAGATTTGGCGCTGTCTCTTTTTGGCTACTCTCGTGATTCAAGTTCTACCTCTATTCCCCATCCCATTGATACCTCTCACATTCTTCAACTTGTTCGCTCCTTCATTCTCAATCCCCAAAGCCACCATGGTTCATGTGTTTTTGATATTGAAGTTAATGTTAATAAACAAATAGAACCCAAATTTTGTGCCACTAGGCTCTTAGCCGCTGGGGTTACTATAGTCAAAACTGAAGAGAATTCTATGATTCCAAAATTCAGCAGAAGCAATGGGGTGCTAGAAGTTCCTCCCTTGCATATCACTCAAACCATGGAAGCAAAGTGGCGAAATTTTATTGCTTGGGAGCTTCACAATAACAGGTGGAAAAAGAGTGTTGGAAGAGATTTGTTCACTGTTCGGGCGTTGCTCTACGATGATTTGATATGCTGTGCAAGCGACGTTCAACTGCTTAAAAACAAGGGAATCATCGTAGATGAGTTGGGTATGAGTAATCACCATCTCATGGATCTTCTTCGTTCCATCACAAATGGAGTTGACCGTGCCCTTGTTCATTCAACTTACTGGAACATGATTCATACCCTCAATACCTATAATGCAACAAATTGTGTCATAGGCTTTCCCATAATTGTGTGGCATTATTTGAGCCGATTTCCAGAATGGCTTTACGATCTTCACAAGTTTTTAAGGCGCGGTTACAACTTTGCTGCTGCGTTGATAACTTTTCTCACTATCATCCAGACTTGTTATACAGTAGTCAGCTATCATTATCCAAAGAACAACTAGTTTTTCTTTATCCAATTTATGTTATGTAAATGATTTTCCATTGCTTTCGGAATATTTACTTGCATTGTATTAATTTCTACAAGGCAAACTTACCTTCTTTGTTTGAGTTTTGGATTCCACGTTTGTCCTCTTTCTCTTTATGATAAATTTTTGTGTGGTTACCCAATTTTCTTTCTTCTTATTGGATAGACTAAAATTATACAATTATAATATTTTAGAGATTAAAATTTTTCAATTAAAAATAAAAAATTAAAATTGCACAAATGAAATATTTAAGAAATTAAATTTGTTTAATTAAAATTTAAGGGACTAAAATTATATAATTATTATACTTGAGAGATGAAAAATGTATTTAAACTTTTTTTAAAGAAATAATTTAGTTAAAGTTAATAACATATGCATAACATATGTAATATGCTACAACAACATTACAACATGTGTAAGTATGAGCTACCAACCAAAAAACATTAAGACAAACATGACTAACACTCACCATTCCATGACTACCTCCCCATTACTAATTTGTATGCTGATTTAACAATGTATCATTCCAAGTTGTTTCCCTTCATAACCAATTAACCATTCATCAAGTGACCCTTCCTAACTCATCTAACCCTTTTCCCACTCAAATAAATTCCTATCATCTCCATCTCCATCCCCACACCAATCTCCCCTTACCATGAACTAAGTTTTCCTAGCTTGGTATCCTTAAATATTGCTAATGAATACAATATTGGATATTTTATTTTCCTCCAATAACTCTTCACCTAACTATCTCTGATTCCAAAATGAATTATCCTTTATCTTTCTAAACCCTAAACCCTAAATCTTAAACCCTAAACCCTAAACCTTAAACTTCCTCCATCATAACTTTCTCATATGAGTTATATATATCTTATAACTTTCTCATATGAGTTGTATATATATTTCTACAAGGACCATTCCTCCTTGTACCCTTGTACATTTAGCCCCCTTTGATATTTGTGTTGTAAAACGTTGATCCATAAGGATTTATCTTCTTATTTTAACCAAGAACATCACTTTTTGTTTTAAGTGGGTGCCTACATAAAGATTTGCATTTCTAATGTGAGACCAGGAATTGTACTTTAGAGTGAATTGTGAGAAGTTATAATTGTTGATTGAAAAATCATGGCTAAGATTGTTATAAAATATGTGCACATGTTTAATAAATTATAAAGTTTAAATTTTAGTCCTTTAATTTTCCAATTAAAAGTAAAACTCTTGATTTTATTCTTTATGATGCAACCCTTAGATTACATACAAATTTAAGTTCATATGAATCTACACTCTATTTGTAATCATATATGGAGAGTTATTATCGTTTGATGCTCAGTTAGTCTTTAATTCAGTAAATAAAGTTATTGATCAAATTAGATACTATTAAATTTTAGTTAACCACTAAGTGAATAATAATGTTTAGTCAGAAGATTTTCAACATGTCATTAGTTATTTCCTTGATAGACTTAAAAGTGTCATCTCTTATCTACCATTTTTTATTAATAAGAGCTTATGATCACTTATAATTTAGAAATAGATGTGACCATCATCAAAGGGTTATCAATATGATTATATATACCTCCGTAACAATCATCATAGTCGTTATCACTGTCATCGTAGTTACATTATCGTCATTTACCACTAGGCATGACAATCTAACCCGCCCCGTAGGTACCCGCTTGAACCCGCCCTGATTTGGATGGGAAAAACCCGTATTTATCGGATTTGGGTAATTTTCCTCGATTTGAATGTGACCATACCCACCCCCGCTCCTACCCTGCTTAATAATATAATTAAAATATTATATATATATATATATA